GGCTGCTCTAGTCAGAGCAGAGCTCAAACTTACTTGGGTGGAACCCATCTCAATTCCTGGTCTTTCCTATTGGACTTGAACTCGAGAAGGCAAGTTTGGGACTGCTGCAGCCGTGTTGTCACCCTGAGGGGAGAGTCTTGCAGGAATCACCACCCGGAGCATAAAAGTGAGATCAACATGGTGGGAACTGTAAAATAGAACAGGACTCCTCAGAAATGGTGTCGTTGCACTTGAATGTGGCATGACCGTACTTTTCAGTTATATGAACTGACAACTATCTCTCAGCTACTTCCTGACCCAAGTTTCTTTCTTCTGCAAAGCAGTCTGAGTTGGGTTTTTGCTTCCTCCCTCTTTTCCATCCTTCCTTTCTTTCTGTGAGAAAGTCTCATGTAGTCCAGGCTGGTCTCAAATTTGCCATGTAGCTGAGGATGACCTTGAACCCCTGATCCTTTTGCCTCCATCTCTGGAATGCTGGTTACAGGCTCGCACCACCATGCCCAGTTTATACAGTGCAGGGGATGGAAGCCAGGGCTTTGTGTATATTAGAAAAGTACTCTGCCAACTGAGCCACATCTCCAGCATATTAGCTCTATTTTCCCAAAACCAAAGCTCAGAGAAGTTAAGTCACCAGCTCAAGGCCACCCAGCTCACGAGTGGCAGTGGCGGAGCCACCCAGCCAGGGCTTCATACCACCACACTCTGCCTCACAGAGAGGACGTGGCCTGGTGTCCACTTCTTCAGAGGCCAGGGTAGTCTTGGAAGGTGACCCAGGCCTGGACTCCGGCTGCCACCACGGGGGAGGGAAGCCTGTACTCTGGAGGCTAAGAGGTGAAGCAGCTCCCTACACCCAACTTCCAGGTGCTAATGAATAGCTCCCAGAGGGCTTCTGCCAAGTTTGTTATGGAGGTGTGAACAGGCTCTGGCGATCAGCAGCTGGGGTGCAGGCAGACAGAGCATCTGTGGAAGGCTTTATGGTGCTATGAACACTTCACTGAAGCACTTCTGTCCCTCCTGCCTGCTGTCAGGGGACCAGATCCCCCACCTTTGCTGTCCACTCCGTGAGGAGCACTTGATGCCAGCGTAAGAGCCGTTCTTTGATGACTGCACTCTGTTACCTGCCCAGTGTGTCACCTATTTCCTCTCATTTTATCTTCATATCACCCCAGCCGGGCAGATAACAAGACTGTTTTTAAGAACCAGAACTTCAGGGGCTGGAGAGATGGATCAAAGCACTGGCTGTCCTTGCAGAACTAGCACCACATGGCAGCCAACAACCCTCTGTAACTCCAGTTCCAGGGGATCTGACGCCCTCCTCTGAGGGCATTGTATGACATGGGTGGACTTACACATATGCAGGCATAACATTCATACACATAAAAAAAAACCCAAAATACAAAAACAGAACTTCAGTCTAGCATAGTGACACATACCTGTAATCCCAGCACCCTGGAGGTGGAGGCAGGAGGTTCAATAGTTCAAGGTTGACCTCAACATAGCAAGTTCAAGGCCAATCTGGGCTGTATGAGAGACCCTGTCTAAAAAACAACCAAAGAATAAAAAACCAAAAACAAATCCCCAAGATTACATACCCAGTAGCACCTCTCTTGTAAACTCCCCAGATGTGAAGGTGTTGGAACCCCATGAGATGTGAGCTTCTGGCTGTGCAGAGACTTCTGGCCACCAGACCTGCTCATTTTGATTTTCCTGGGACTTTTCTGGTTTTAGCCTGAAAAACTGAAGGCAGAGAAAATGCCCTGGGAACCCTCTGAATACCAAGCTGGAGTGGGGGGTCACCCTAATTGGTAGAAGCTGAAGGCATAGAGATGTTTGCTGCCTGCAGGAGGCTGTTCCTAGATGAGCAGCAACGTCTTTCTGGCCCATGCAAGCTCTGCATCCTTCTGATTCACCACCCTTGGCATCCTGTCACAATGTGGCCATCTAGCTTGGGTCCTGTGGTTTCAGTCTGACTCCTGGAAGCAGGGCTGAGAAGGGGGTCAGATGGGGTTCATTACTGAGGCTGTGCTTATGAGGGAACCTGGGATGGAAAGCAGGGGGGCAGGCAGTAGGCACCAGAAGGTGGCTGGAGCTCTGCCTCTAGGCCCAACCTGGAATCCACACCCCTGACCATTGGTCACTGCTATGGGCTGTCCTGGTGGGATTCAGGGTCACCTCCTGGCATCTTTGGATGCTGGAGTCTCATCTCCTTTAGAGATCAGATGCTGGGGTTTATGAGAACAGTGCTGGTGGCCCTGGGCTCCTGGGCAGAACATCAGCTCTTCTCCTATTTTATTTTTCACAGTTCTGGGGATTTAACCCAGGGCCTTGTGAATGCTAGACAAGCATTCTACCCCTGAGCTACATTACCAACCATTTTCTTCCTCTTTATTTTGAGACAAGCTCTCACTAAATTGCTCAGATTGATGCTTCCTTCTCCCTGCACTTAAACATCACCACCTCTGTGAGCCCTTCTCTGAATTCACGCACAAAAAAGATTTTTTTGAGGGCCTGGAGAGATAGGTCAGTGGTTAAGAGCACTTGCTGCTCTTGCAGAAGACCTGGGTTCTGTTCCCAGCACCCACAGGGTGACTAACAGCCATCTGTAACTCCAGTTCCAGGGGATCCGACACCCTCTTCTGTCCTCTGTGGGCATTGCACACATGATGCCCTTACACACATGCAGGCAAAACACTCATACACATAAAATATAGCAAAGAATGACAAAAAAGGTATTAAGGCTAGAATCCAAGGCTTCCCAAATGCTCTGTCACCAGCTTGCTTTTCACTTAAAAATTTTATTAAATTTGTGTGCATGAGTGTATTGACTGCTTGTATGTAAGTGTACTTGTGTTGTGCAGTGCTCTTGGGGGACAGAAGCAAGCATCAGATCCCCTGGGACTGGAGTTATGGACAGTTGTTAGCAGCCATGTGGGTGCTGGGATTTGAACCCAGGTCCTCTGCGAGAGCAGTCAGTGCTCTTAACTGCTGGGTCATCTCTCCAGCCTTCTCCTTTCACTTTTAATTTTGAGACACAACCTCACACAGTTGTGCAGGCTGGTCTTGAACTCTCTCTGGAGCCCAGTCAGGCCTTGATCTTACAGCCCTTTGGCCTCAGCCTCTGCAGTAGCTGTGATTAGAGGCTTTTGCCACCAGACCTGGCCTGCCTGCACATCTCAAGTGACTGTTCCTTGCCTCCTCTGACGCTGTCACTCCCTGCTAAGTCACCCACCCATATCAACATCACAGTTCTTTTTCTGCCATTCACCTGGTCCCTGTTTCTGTCCCTCCCACTGTGTGGACCCCCAAAAGAGGGGGACTTGCTGCAGAGGAGGTGTTGCTGGAGGCTACCCTGATTCCTCCCAGCAGGATGCTGATGAGTGCTGTGCTCACAGATGGGGTGATGGCTGCCATTGGCTCCCACTTGTACTTTCCCTGATATGGAGACAGGTCCTGGCTACATAGCGATGGGTCACCTGTGGATGTTAGGGCATCAGGACAGGACAGGAATCTGGATGAGCCAAGTGAGGCTGAGTCAGGTGAGGTCAAAGATCTGTTTTTGTGTAAAATCTTGACATTGTCTTCATGGTGCATTTTTGACTGATTTTTTTTTTCTGTCTTTTTGAGACAGGGTCTCTCATAGCCCCAGTTGGCCTGGAACTCACTATGCATAATCTACAGACCAGGGTGGCCTTGAACTCACAGAGATCTGCCTGCCTCTGTCTCCCAAGTGCTGGGATTAAAGGCATGAACCATCACTACTTTAGAATATTTTATTTACTATTTTTATTTTATGTGGATGACTGTATTGCCTGGGCATCAAACCCAGGTCCTCTGCAAGAGCAGCTAGTGCTCTTAACCACTGAGCTATCTCTCCAGCCCCCCACAGTGTAAATTTTAAAGCATGAAGCACTGAAGTTTCTGAGTCTTGAGTCTTCTAGTCCTCCTTCACTTTGGTGCTATAGACAGAGACCTGGCTTGCCTTACCTGCTTAGAGGTGGGCCTAGATTCTGCATTGCTACTGTCCACTGTGACTGTGGAGAAGTGTTTGAGAGGTCCCAGATAGGGATGATCACATGATTTACAGAATGACACTGGTTTGGAAGTTCTGGTGCTGAGTCTTCTAGAACTGAGTTTAGTACCCAGGGCCACCAGGGTCAACATGGTGGCTGGCTGGGTAGGAGAAGGCATGTGCCCAGACCAGAGACTCTGCTGGGTAACGTGCCCAATGGACAGTGGGGTCCCTGGCTAAGAGGCCACAAAGCCTGGCCTAAAGGTTGTCTTCAGTTCTAGAGTTGCTTGTTGGGTGTCCTAGGACCTTGTTTTAGTTTGGGCCTCTAAGTCCACTCTGCTCCATTAGTGGAATCTGGAGCCTCTTGTCCTCGGGAGGGTCTTGAATGGTGGCCCATACATGGTTGGTCACCCGGACAGATCTGAATTTAAAAGATGAGGTGGGACATCCTGGCCAATGTGACCCTAGCTTCTCCACGTACTCCATCCTCTGTCCTCAGTTTGGGGACCCCCAGGCCTCCCTCCCAGTGCTGTCCCACCCAGAGTCCCTCCCCAACCTCAGGTATTTCTCTTTTCTGTGACTTCAGAAGGTTCTTTGCTCACCCTGCTTATCGGTTTTTGGCCCTGTTGTTAGTTGCACTTTTGAGGGGAAAGGGAAATTCCATCACTCTGAGGTGTTACCCTGATATTGAAGGCTAGCAGTGCCCTGCTGTGACACCTGGGTCCCAGGAAGGGCATGCTAATTAGTTGGAAAACTTACTTTGCAGGTGTGAGTCATTGGAAGCAGGTGTCAGGAGAGCTTTTTAACGAGGCCCTGGTGAGCTGGATGGTTCTACTTTGCCTCCTCATGGGTATGCTGTACAGGGAGACAGCTCAGTCTCCCCAGGAGAGAGGGAGATGGAGGGGACAGAGAAGGGGGAGGTGTTCTGAGGACCCAGCCTCCTGTGTTAAAAATAAACACTGACAGACAGCACACCATCCCTATGACAAAATACTGGAGGAAATCAACTTGAAGGAGGAATGGTTTATTTTGGTTGATGGTAAATGGGCATTTAGCTCCATTGTATCTGGCCTACTTCGAGGCACAGCATCCTGGTGGGGAGCACTTTGATGGGACAGAGTTGCTTACCTTGGGGTAGCCCAGAAGCAGAGAGAGGGAAGGGGGTGGGACAAGACACCCCCTTCAAAGGCATACCCCCAGTGATCTTCCTCCAACCAGGCTCCATCCCTTAAAGTTTTCACACCTCCCAATGGACCATAAAGCTATGAATTCATCAGTGGGTTGATTTATTGATGAGGTCAGAGCCCACATAATCCAGTCACCCTCCAGAGGCCTCCAGAGGTGAACAGTGCTGCATTCGGGACCAAGCCTTTGACGTGAGCTTTTGGGGGACATTTCAGATGAGATCAGGCACATTCGGGGTGGTATGGCTGTAGACAGATTGGGACATTTCAGATCTGAGCTGTAATGGACACTTCCTGTCCCTCTTCTCCTTGGCTGTTCCCCTTTATCATTTCTTTTTATTTTTTTAAAAGTGCTTTTTGAGCATGTGTTAGGTGCTGATCCTGCGTGAGGCCCTGGGAGTAGGCTGGGAACTGTGTTGCTGAGTTCCTGCCAATATATGCCAAGCTGGTCCTGCAGGAGACAGACCAGAGTTCAGGAGCTGAGAAGTGATGGAAGCAATTCCAACTGATAAAGGTCCAGCAGGGTAAGGAAACCATGTGTGGGAGACGGGAGCAGGGAGGCAGTGAAAGGAATCAGTTACCCATGCCGTGTTCTGCAGGGAAGGCATTCCCCCAGAAGGATCTGCAGGTGTGAAGGCCTGAAACGGGCTAGGCTGGATGTTATCTGAAGGGAGGCTGGGGGCACTGGTGGAAGGTGGGAACGGGTGGAAGTGGGAGAGAAGCTGCAGAGTGGGACAACCAGCAGGGATTTGGGCTGTAGAGCCAGTGATCCAACCAGACGTATCTCAAAATGTAATTTTTGCTGCTGGATGGAGAGGAGGCAGCTGGGTGTGGGATGGAAGAGCAAGGGAAGCTGCTGTCTTCCCGGCTGGGACAAGTGTGCACGTGACGAGGGTGTGATGTGCCCTCGGTACACAGGGCTGTGACTCTTGGAGCTGAAGTGGAATGTTCTGGGCTAGCCTGGGGTCCCTCTCAGTGCACATACTACATTTCCTGAGGTCAGGAGTGGATCCCTTTGAGAGCATGGGGAAAGTCTTCCATATACTCCCCAGACTGCCTTCAGAGCCCCTGCCAGAAGCATCAGCCTGCTGTAGGTTTAGCCCTAGTCTCAGGCAAGCAGGATAAAGTGCTCTTTTTGTAATATTAAAATAAATGTGGCTTAGGATAAAATCTCACATTGTTTTTAAATGAAAAAAAATGAAGTGATTTGACCTTTGAAGTCAGTGGAGCTGACTCACTTCTTGGTGTCCCCCACACTGCTGGGAGTTAAGGAGTAAAAGCTGACAGAGGTGGTAGGAAAGTAGGAGGGTGAATGAGGGACAGGACTTAAAGGTCTGTTTGCTCCCCTTCCTCCCATCCTGCCAGGGTCCCATCAGTCCAGAGGCCCCAGCAAGTGGCCCTTTCTCTTCTGGTACCCCTCAGCTGGCTTTGCTGGGAGACACAATTCCCTCTTTGAAGAGAACCCTGAGGAAGCCAATTTCCTCCTGTTTCCTGGGACACACATGGCCCGCACTAAAGCCAGACAGGTGGCTGCTGTCCCTACTTTCTCCAGGCAGTTTTGCTGGGTGTGTTATTTACACAGTGAGCAGGTGGGGCACCTGCTCTGGCTAGCTTCCTTCTCACTCCTGGGGTGGGAGGGAGGGCAGGGACCCTTGGTGATGTGGTGTGTGTCCTTCCTGTGCTCACTAGGGTCTGTCCCAGGTCAGGGCTGGACTCAGAAGCAGTAATGTCCCTTCCCACGCTTTAGTAAGATGGCTGTTGCTTGAAGCTGCAGATGGCAGGCAGGGCAGAGGTGTCTTTCCAGCTCAGTTGTTGTCCCTGGTATCTGAAGAGGCACTTCCAAACAAGATGTCACTGTCCTGGGATATGCCACTGAGCTGCGACTTGGCTTTGATGAGGTACTGGGCCCTGCGGATCAGCACCCTCTCCTGTTCCTGCTTGAGCTCCAAGTAGGAGCGGGAAAAAGTGTGGAAGATGGAGGTGACTGGGAAGGCCATGAGCAGGATTCCACTGAGGATGCTGCTCAGCGCCACCACCTGGCCAGGTGTGCTTCTGGGTACCATGTCTCCGTAACCCACGGTTGTCATGGTGATGACGGCCCACCAGTAGCAGGCAGGGATACTGGTGAACTCAGGGCTGTCTGCCATCTCATTCTCGATGACATAGAGGAGCGGGGCGAAGAGGGCAATGGCCACACACAGAAAGAGCAGCAGGAGCCCAAACTCGCGTGTGCAGCGGCGGGCTGTGAGCCCTAGCGTCTGCAGCCCCAGCGAGTGGCGGGCCAGGCGCATCACATAGAGGATGCGCAGTGCCCGCAGCACGCGCAGCACCAGCCCCACCTTATCCAGGTAGCTGTTGCCAGCGCCCGGCTTGCGACGGCTGGAGGCAGCGCCATCCACCAGCAGGGTGACATAGTAGGGCAGGATGGCCACCAGGTCGATGAGTGTCAGCGGGCTGCGCAGGAAGGCAAACTTGCTGGGTGCTTGGATGAAGCGCAGCAGGAACTCGAGGGAGAACCAGCCCACACACACCGACTCCACGATGAAGACGTTGTGACACATCTGGGAACACTGGCCCTGGTGGGGAAGGACAGGACTGGGGTCAGACCAACAAGTGGGCAGAGGAGCTCTGGCCTGGGTCCTTAGCTGAGAAAGCCACCTGGGCTTGGTTCCCCATTCCTGTTTCCAGCTCTTTCCAGTCTTGGATCTGGTGGAACACCATGCCATCTCTCCAGCCCAGATCTTGATCTTGGCCCTGACTTCCAGACAGACCCCTCTGTATCTGCCACCCTGGTGTCTATCACTGTCTGACTGGGCTCTTGGCTTCTCAAACCAGTCTGCTTTCACCTTAGGGTTCTCCTCCTTAGCTCAGGCCATCCCATCCTTCCAGCTGCTGGGGACCAGGGATCTGTCTGTCTCTGTTCTTCCCTTCTTCCCTCTTTCTCTCTTTCTGGTTGTTACAGGAACAAAAGTTGGAAACTTAGCTTGGAGTTTAGACAGGCGTGGAACTCCTCCCCATGAGTATGTGTGTGAGACAGGCAGGCCAAGGATATAATGGAGGAGAGGGAGATGCCATTACACTTGGAAGTATAACGATTTGTCCTGGTTACTCTGCCTCCCTTGCAGTACCTACATACAGTAGGTACTCAAATATGTGTACACAGACCAAGTGGAACACTGAGTCCTACTGACCCCAAAATGAAACTAAGGAACACCTTTACTGACATAAAGAGATTGGGTTGGGCATGGTGGCACATGCTTTTAATCACAGCACTCAGAAAGTAGAGGCAGGAGGAGCTCTGTGAATTCAAGACCAGACTGGCCTACATAGTGAGATCCTGTCTCAAACGAAAGAAAAAAATAAGGCTAGGGATTATTTTCTTCTTCTTCCTCCCCAACCTCTTTCTTTAACAAGGTCTTATATATCCCAGGCTGGCTCAAATTTGATATGTAGTGGAGGCTGACCTTGAACTTCTGACTCTCCCACTTCCATCTCCCAAATACTGGGATTACAGATTTACATCATACTTTTTTTTCTCAAAAAAGTAACTTCAGGAGACTGGGGAGATGGCTCGGTGGATAAAGTACTTGTTGTTCAAGGGTGAGGACCAGAGTTTGGAGCCCAGAGCCCATGTAAAATCCAGTCAGGTGTGGCAACCACCTGTAATCCCAGAGCTCTGGAGACAGAGACAGGATCCTGGGGGCAAACTAGCTAGATTATCAAGTGAGAGTCCCTGCCGCAATGAGAAAAGGGGAACTCAGTCAAGGAAGACAGCTGACATCAACTCCAAGCCTTCATGAGCATTCACACATGCAAGCCCACGCATGAACGCACACAGGCACACCATACACACACACACACGCACGCACACACACACACACACACGCACGCACACACACACACACACACGCACGCACACACACACACACACACACACACACACACACACACACTTAAAAAAATCAGTATCAGGGCTGGGCGTAGAGCACTTGCTTAGCATGTGTGAGTTCTGGGCTCTATCCTTAGCACTACTGGGGAAACTGAAACAAAATAGTGTCAGAAGTTGAATCAAAGTGGTTTGGTTATTGTTTTCTTGATGAAATTAGGATTGAAGATGCTGGAGTTAGTGCGGCTCTGATAGTGTACACCTACGAACAATCTTAGTACCTGGAAGGCTGAAGCAGGAGGATTGCTGTGAGTTCCAGGCCAGCCTGGGCTACATAGTGAAACTCTGCCTCAAAAAAAGATGCTGGAGATTAAAAAGTCTCTACTAGATAATTCTCCAAGGTCTGTTCTGATCCCTTTATATAGGCTTGTTCACTGAATTCTCACATTGTCCATAGTCCCTTGGACAGATGGGGAAACTGAGGCATACAGCAATCTAGTAACTTGCCCTCAGCTTTATGCAGCCAGAGTGCATGGAACGGAATTCAGATTTGGCTGTTGGATGCTAGCCCTGCCCTCCTTCACCTAGGTCCTATGCTCATCGAAAGCTAATGTTTTTGGCTGAGTGTTTTCTCAGTACCCTTTAGAACATTCAATGTGTGAAACCATGCCAGCAATCCTTTCTGGGTTGTAAGTGCATCAGCAATCGCTCCTTCCTCTATATTATCTGTAGATGGAAAAACCGTACCCTGGGGTGGACTTCTAAGATTAAATCAGATAATGTAAAGCACTTACCACATGCAGGGTGTACAGTTGGTGCTCAATAAATGCTGGATGGCATCACATTTATGTTCAGTTCATACCTATTTCTCTAATGCTTATTTCTTCTAATGCTTAGAAATTACATTAGAAGAACCTGGGTCCTTCTACTTTTTCTGGAAGCTTGCTTCCAGAACTCCCATGTGTGGGGCAGAATTCCCAACCCAAAATCCCAGGGAACTCAAGAGCACCAGCTCTTAGAAAAGTTAAGTGTGCGTTTTTATACGCAAAACACCTTATTTCTGAGCATTTCAATCAAGTTCAATGTGGGGAAAGTTCTGGCAGGCCAGCTACATACTTCTGTGGGGTTATCCTGGGTCCCCAGCTACCATGTGTGATGCATAGGCACAGAGACCCTGGATTTCATCCACCTGGGCTTGGCAAGTTGCTCTGCCTGCCTCAATGTCCTCATCTGCCAGGTGGGTGTGAGAACACGTCCCCCATGGGGTTACAGGAGTTCCTGCAAGGAAGATGGGGGGGAGGCAGAGCTGCCACCCCCGATCCCTACGCTGCTGGGTACGTGGGAGCCTTAGAATGAAGCATAAGACTGTGTCAGGCTGGGAGTAAATGCTTTACATGCAGCCTCTTACTGAGCTCAAAAGACATGTTCATTCTGTGGAGTTATGCACATACACACAGACCTATGGATTAAGATTGTTTTCATGGGACTAGAGAGATGGCTCAGCAGTTAAGAGCACTGGGTACTCTTGCAGAGGACCCAGGTTCGATTCCCAGCACCTACATGGCAGTTAACCATCTGTAACTCCAGTTCCAGGGGATCTGATGCCGTCTTTTGATCTCCAAGGGCATTGCACGGCATGGATGCACTTACATACATGCAGGCATTACACTCATACACATAAAATAAAAATAAATAAAATATTTAAAAACTTGTTTTCATGACCATAAAAATGTGTTTCAGATATTATCATACAAGGGAGATTGGAGGACGGAGAGAGGACTCAGGTCAGCGAGATGACTTTGATGGAATGTTCTGGACTCAGGGCCAGACATGTCATGGATTCTGTCACTCATACATTTACTCATGTGATCCAAGAAGGGACTTAGCATCATCTCTGTGTAGGATGTGGCTCTAGACCCTTCAGGATGGGAGAGTGGTGGACACACAGAGGAGATGCAGGCAAACACATCCACACAGTATGTGGTCAAGGTCCTGGCTGTTAGCCAGTGTACAGTCAGGGAAGGCCTCCTGGGGGAGGTGGCAAAGGCAGGCTGAAACAGACGACAGCATTTCCAATCTTCAGAGTCCCTTACCTCATATAGCCAATCTTACCTGCTCCTCCTCCTCCCTCAGGCTGGGCAAGGTGCTGACGGACAGGTTGACAGCAGTGACGGTGACAAACAGGACAGAAAGGCAGGCAAACACCTTGCCAGGCAGCCCTGAGTGCGGCCTCTCCACCATGTCACGCAGCCTCCGCATGCAGCGGCCCAGGCGACCCTCACTGGCCGAGGGACCTTCGCTGTCTCGGTCTTCGCTGTCCAGCAGCTCATCCTCGTCCTCCCGCTCCACCATCTCGGCAAACTCTTCAATCTTCTGCAGGTAGCGACGCTTGCAGCAGCCATCCAAATGGTCCTCGGCAATGCCCCAGTATAACAGCTCCTCCTGGAAGGACAGGGCACACATCTCCCGCAGCAGCCGCAGTTTGCCAGCCCGCAGGAAAGTGAGGATGGTGCCAAAGGCCCCTGGGTTACGGTCGAAGAAGAACTCATTGCAAGTCACATCGTAGTCATCACACACGCTAAGGATGTCATCGAAGTTGGTGCAGGTCTTGAGCTGGCCCAGACGAGTCAGTGGGAACTCATCCAACGTGGTCCAGGGTAGTGAGTACTTGATTCCTCCCACATTGATGATGATCTGTCTCCTGCGGTCTCCCGGTGAGCTGACCTGATGTACATCGTCCTGTGGCCGCAACCGTTGGGCCCGGCGGTAGAAGGCCCCTTTGATGGCCTGACGCTGTGGGAAGAAGGCCGGGTGAAAGGAGCCATCTGAAGTGCAGCTCAGGGCGCTGTAGTCATAGTCAGAATTGTCTCCTGGTAGCAGGGTCATTTTGGGACCTCACATTCCTCTTGGGCCTGAGGGAGAAGAAGGGAGATACTTTGTGACCCCTAAGTCTTGGCTAAGCCCTCCTGTTAACTGTGGATTTCACAGATTGTTCCTTGATCTGTGCCCCACAAGACACAGGTTGAAGCCCTTGCCTTCTTTCTAAAAAAAAATTATATATATATATTTAAATTCATTTATTTTAAAATGTTTATTATTTTTATGTGTGTGAGTGTATTGCCTGCATATATGTAAGTGCACCCATGTTGTACAGTGCCCACAGAGGTCAGAAGAGAGCATGGGATTTTCCTGGAACTGGAGTTACAAACAGTTGTTGGGCATCACATTGGTGCTGGGAATCAAACCCGGGTCCTCTGGAAGAACAGTAAGTGTTCTTAACTGCTGAGCTATCTCTCCAGCCAAATATATGTATTTAAAATTTTGACTTATTATTATTTGTGTGCATGTGCGTGCTTGTGTATGTTGGCATGTGTGCCATGGTATGTGTGTGGAGGTCAGAGGACAGCTTTGTGGAATAGCTTCTCTCCATTTACCTTTACATGGGTTCTGGGGCTCAAACTCAGGTAGCCAGGCTTGTACAGCATGCACCTTTACCCACTGAATCATCTTATCAGGCCCTGAAACTCTTTGGTGTTAGAATTCAGAAGTGTGGGCTCTGGAAGGTAACTAGGGTCCATGAGGACTGGGGTGAAACCCTGGGATTGGGTTAGTGTCCATCTAAGGTGAAGAGATGCCAAAACTCAGTGTCACCTTGTATGAACACAGTGGAAACTTGGAGGTCTGCAGCTGGCTCTTGAGTTTCCAGCCTCCAGACCATGGGGATAGATGTCTGTGGTTTAAGCCTGCAGTGTGTGGGGCTTTGTTTCCAAGACATTCAATTATAGTGAAAGAGTGTTTCGGTCCTCAGCACTTTTCCTTAACTTCCCAGTTTCTCCACAGCCTCCTCTTACGCTATGGAGAGAGGACCACAGGGCATGGTCAGTGAATAAAATGTGCCCTCAGTACCAAGACTGACAGCCTGGTGGTCAGGCAATGACTGTGTGCCCCTGGCTCAACTAACTTTTAAACAAATTAGGTTAGAAAGGTGGTTTAGTATAGACCAGTGTTTTTTAGGTAGAGCTGACTTTATCCATGAGGGACACATAGCAAAGCCTGAGGTGCTTTTGACCAATGTGCTGGGAGTGCTTCTAGTAGAGAGAGGCCAGGAGGCTGATAAACCAACAACCTATAATGCTCACCACAGCTCCGACCACAGAGTCACCTGGCCCCAAACAGTCATAATGCTGAGGTGGAAAAGCCCAGGTATTGAGGTGACAGATTTTGGAGCCAAAGAGCCTGGGGAAGTTACTTAAACAAAATGGGTTTCGATTTCCTCATCTGTGAAATCGGTTTAACCATGTGACAAAATGAACATTTAGTACACTGCCTGGCACACAGCAGGTGCTCAATAATGGCTGGTTATTGTCTTAGTGTTTACCTTAAAGGGATGCCTTGTATTGCTTCCACAAACGGGAAACAGATGCCACCGGCCATAACTAAGAGGCAATGGAAAAGAAATGCCCAGTTATCCAAACAGGACCTGGCTTGCTCACACATTAGCAAATCTCCTTGAGGATTCAGGGGTGGACAGTGAGCCTCACTTTCTCCTCCAGAGAGACTTTGGCTTTTCCAGGTAAACCTTGTGCCTATAGTTTTTGTTTTTTAAAAAATTATTATTATGGGGCTGGAAAGACGACTCAGTAGTTAAGAGCACTGGCTGATCTGGCAAGACCTGGGTTCGGTTTCCAGCATCTACATAGTGGCTAACAACCATCCATAACTCCAGTTCCAGGGGATCTGATGCCCTCTTCTGACCTCCACGGCACTGCATGATATGGGTGCACCTACCTACTAGCAGGCAATATACTCATATACATAAAGTATTAAAAATTATTATTCGTGTGTATGTGTGTGTGTGAGAGAGAGAGAGAAAAAAAATGCATGCATGTGTATGTGTGTGCATACCCCCATGCACATGCATACAGAGGGTGGAGGAGGGTCTTTGCGTTATTTGTACTTGAAACAGGGTCTCTCACCGAGCTAGAAGCTTGCCATTTCAGCTAGACTGGCTGGCCAGCAAGCTTTCAGGACTTATCTCTCTCTGTCTCCCAATGTTGGGGGTACAAGCATTTGAAGCCATGCCTAGCTTTTTACATGGGTGCCAGGATTTGAACTCAGGTCTTCATGCTTGCAAAAATATAAATTTTAAGATATCTATTTTGTGTGTGTGTTTATGTTTGGGTGCATGTGTGTGAGTGTATGTGGAGGCCAGGTTCAGCCCTAAGTGGTGTTCCTCAGGAGCCATCTACCGTTTTTGCTACAGAAAATACATTTATGCATTGACTGATTGATTCCTATACATGCTGTGTGTGTGTGTGTGTGTGTGTGTGTGTGTGTGTGTGTGTGTTTTGGCAGCAAGAGCCTTTACCAACTGAACCATCTCACTGACCCCTACCTTGTTTTTTTCAGGCAGAGGCTCTTACTAGGAAGCTCGGCTGACTGGCCAATGAACCCCAGTGCTGGAAATATAAACACATACAGCCACACCAAGCTCTTTACTTGGGTGCTGGGGATCAAACTCAAGTCCTCATGCTTGTACAATAAACACTTTACCTACTGAGTCATTCTCCCAACCTCATCGTGCCCCAGTTTCACAATGATCTGTGTGCAAGCCTGGCTCCTGTGGACTGCCTCCTCCAGGGGGAGGTACAGCACCTGACTTATCTCTGAATCTCTGCACCCAGCAGTGTAAAGGCTCCAAGACCAGCTTGCTAGATGAAAAGGGTTCCTGTGGAGGAGCCAAAGAACAAGGCTACTTCTGGAAAGCAAAGATCAAAATATCAGTAAGCATGTGCTCCTTCCTCCCCAGCCTGACTGAAGGGTTTGCACTGCGAAAATGAGCTGGCTAACCCATACCAGCCTTTGGGCTCAGCTTTATTCATGAATATTTCACTTGGACAAGTTTCTGACAACTGAGAAGTTTCACGTAAAAATCTATATTCCAGGGCTGGAGAGATGGCTCAGAGGTTACAAGCACTGGCTACTCTTTCAGAGGACCGGGTTCTAATCCCAGCACCCACATGGCAGCTAACAACTGTCTGTAACTCCAGTTCCAGGGGAATCTGACACTCTCTCTGACCTCTGTAGGCATTGCACGATATAGGTGCACTTACATACATGAAGGTAATATACTCATACATACAAAATAAAAATAATAAAACAAAAAACATTGTTAAAAAAATCTATATTCTTTGTCTTTCTTGAAAAAAAAATCAGAACACCTGGCAACTTGGTTCAAATTCTAGCTGAGGATGGCTGTGCCCATTAGGCAGGCTCCAGTCTACTGCGGTCTCCACTGCTCCCTGCTGTCTTTCTCATACCCACTCTATCTTGCTCATGAATGTTCATTTGAGTCATGGAATTACCCAAGAGAACTAGGCTGATGCATAGGAAGACAGTAAAAGTTTAATATTTTGGCCTCCCCTCCCCCCGACTCAAATCTCACTATGTAGCCCATGCTGGCCTTGAACTTGGTGATCCTCCTGCCTCAGCCTTGTGAGCCCTGGAATTATAGGTCTGAACGCAATGCCTGGATAACACGTTTCTTTTTAAGATCACCATGTATAGCTGGGCATGGTGGTGCAGGACTATAATACTAGCACTTGGGAGGCTAAGGCAGGAGGATCACCAAGTTCAAGGTCAGCATGGGCTACATAATGAGACACTATCTTATAAAACAAGACAGGGCTGGGAATGCAGCTCAGCTGAGTGTTTCCCAGCATTCGGGAAGCCCGGGGTTCCATCCCCAGCATCTCATAAATTGAATGTGGTGGTTTATGCCTATAACAATAGCACTTGGGAGGTGGAGGTAAGAGGTAAATTCAAGGTCATCCCTGGCTAATTTGAACTGACGTTCCCAGAAGGAAAAAGAAAAAAGGAAAGAGGAGAGGGAGGGAGGGAGGGGGAGA